CTGGATGCTTTTGCTGAGCCATGGGGGCTTTTTAGCACTCCTGCCCTGCTTAGTGCGCATTGAATTCAAGACAATTCCCCCGGCCCCTGTGCCTGTCCTCTCCACCTCCGCCTGTCCTCTCCACCTCCTGCTGCTTCCCTTTGGGGTGGCTCTGGCTTCAGCTCCAGGGAAGACAGTGGTAGAAGTGCCAGCCCAGCCCAGTCAGGCAAAAACAGAGGTGGAAGCTCCAGGCCTGGCGAGGGCTGGAGTTTGAAGCTAAGGTAAGCTGGGTGAAGCTGGGGAGCAGGCTGTAGGGTCTTCCCAGTGGTCCTGACCCCCACTACAGATCTCCCTCATGCACCCCACCCCCCATTGGGTCTCCCATGTGCTCCTCTCCCACACCCCACTGCACCACCTCCTTCATGGTTCCATTGCTGCAAACCCCATCCTGCATTGCATGTACCACCCCAGCACCTATGTGAGCTGTCTCTGGCTGGTCAAACTGATTGCCACTAGAATGTAGGTCTAACTCAGTGATTCTTAACCAGCGTGCCATAGCACCTTGGGGTGATGTGAGATCCTTTCAAAAGTGCAGTGCTAGCACTGTTAGGTGTGCAAACATAACTCAGAAGATAAAACCAAACTTTTCAAACAGACAAGGTTCTTTGAGTAGATGTGATATCTTTTATTAGACCAACTAAATAGTTGGAAAACTTTTCAAATGAGAATCCATAGTGTTAAAAACATTCTGACCTGTTGTGGTCTTTCTGAGGTTTTTGCAACAGAAACATTGCTCTATTATTTTCCCATAGTCAAAAAACGAGTGAAAATGAAGAATTGGCATTTTCTGAGGGGTGCCTCAAGTCTAATGAGGGGTGTCCGAAGTCTAAAAAGGTTGAGAACCACTGGTCTAACTAAATAAAAAAAGAGGCAAGCCATGTATTCTACCAGATAAGGCCTCTAGTATGGGATCTGAACTAAATAGGGATTTTTTTTCAAGTATTTATTTTATTTTATTGTATTTTATTTTATTATTATTATTGTATACAATTATACACAATAGCTAACAATAAATGATTTCTGGGCTATTGTAAATTCTTCTTATTTGTGTTATATTAATAAGACTGCTTTCACTTCCCATTTGTCATTGATTGGTTATGAAATGTGTGTGTGTGTGTGTACGTGTGTGTATGAGATGCTTTCACTTCCCATTTGTCATTGATTGGTTATGAAGTGTGTGTGTGTGTGTGTGTGTGTGTGCGCGCGCACACGAGATGCTTTCACTTCCCATTTGTCATTGATTGGTTATGAAGTGTGTGTGTGTGTGTGTGTGTGTGTGTGCACGAGATGCTTTCACTTCCTTTGTTTATGTGGTGTGTGTGTGTGTGTGTGTGTGTGTGTGTGTGTGTGTACGAGATGCTTTCACTTCCCATTTGTCATTGATTGGTTATGAAGTGTGTGTGTGTGTGTGTGTGTGTGTGTGTACACGAGAGAGAGAGAGAGAGAGAGTCTGTATATTTGTACAGGTGGTGTTCATGCTGTAAGATTGTTCAGCAACTAGTTTGAGGGATTCTCACCTTCTCTTTCACTTTTTGCAAGTTATTGATCTATCACCATTTACACATATGGCAAAATTCCCATTGAATTTATTTGAGGCTAGGATTTCAGTCCAAACGCTTTGTGTAATAGGTATGCAATAGATCACCTAACTTACAATATTTGACATTTTCTTTTTAACAGTCATGGATCAGGGAACATTTTGAATGTAGCTGTTAATATGTCTTGTTCTTTATTGGAATCTATATAGATTACTATCCTCCTGCACGTATAGGAAAGAAAAAAGATATGTATATGTTTCTAGCTCTTCATATGGAGAAATCTCCAGCATGTAATAATGCACCTGAAAAGGTATGTAATGCTATATCACTGTCAAAGGTGTTTCTTTCCAATTAAAGGGACTAATAGTTTCATAGTAGTTAGGATCAGGAGGGACCTGAACAGATCATCTAGCCTGACCCCCTGCCACAGGCAGGAATGAATGCTGGGTTCACAAGACCCCAGACAGGTGATCATCTAACCTCTTTTTGAATTTACCCAAGGTAGGGGCGAGGACCACTTCCCTAGGAAGTTGGTTCCAGATTTTGGCCACCCGAACTGTAAAATATTGCCTCCTGATCTCTAACCTAAATCTGTTCTCCATCAGCTTATTACCATTGTTCTTCATCACCCCAGGTGGTGCAGGGGAGAATAGGGCTTTTCCTATTTGCTGATGATCTCCCCTGATGAGGTTGTAGGCAGCCACCAGGTCCCCCCTCAGCCTCCTCTTGCCGAGGCTGAACAGGTTCAGGCCCCTCAGTCTCTCCTTATAGGGCCTGTCTTGCTGTCCTCTCACCAAATGGGTGGCCCTCCTCTGAACTCTCTCCAGGCTGGCCACATACTTTTTAAAGTGCGGCGCCCAGTATTGGATGCAGTACTCCAATTGCAGCCTGACCAATGTCACAGAGGGGGAGTATCACCTCTCTGGACCGGCTTGAGATGCATCTTTGGATGCATGACAAGGTATGACTGGCCTTGCTGGCTGCAGTCTGGCATTGGCGGCTCATGTTCATCTTGGAGTCAATAATGACTCCAAGATCCTGTTCCGCCTCTTGAAAGCATAGAGGGGAACTCCCCAGCCTGTATGTATGCTGTGGATTCCTCCTCCCAAGGTGCAGCACCCTGCATTTATCTATGTTGAACCCCATCCTATTCTCATCTGCCCACTTTTATAGTCTGTCTAAATCTAATTGCAGCCTCTCCCTTCAAGTGTACCCACCCCGCACCACATCTTAGTGTCATCAGCAGACTTGAACAATGTGTTTTCAACCCCCTCGTCCAAGTTGCTGATGGAGATGTAATCTCTTAAAATCCTTGATAATGTCAATTAAAAGTTACCAGTGCTAATCAGTACTGTTTAGTCCTAGCTATTAAGTCCATTAGATTACTATAGGAGCTATAAAACAGTCCTAGATATAGTTAATCTAGTTGTAGTTCTGTTGCACAGCAGAACAGAACTTCATCCCCTAATAGCCCCTTACTCGCCTTAAAGCAATATCCCAAAAGAGCTCTTCACTAGTAGCCTGCAGAAGGATTTACTGATGGTTTGAGTCGACAAGGGGAAGAGCAAAGGTGGGATTCTCTGTTGAGCATGAACAAAACAGTAGAGACTTTGTGGCCTGAGAAGCAGAATCCTTCCTCACTGTCCCCTAAAGCCACCAAGTGCAAAGCTAGAGTGAGTGCTTGGGCTTGATGAAGTGTTTGCACTTACTCCTTTAATGATTGCCTGGTGTTCTTATACATAGGGCTCCTATACATGTGCAGGGAGGCTGCTCTGACATGCTGTAATTACAGCACATCAGAGCAGACTTGATTAATAGTTCTTTTAATTAGCTTTAGTTCAAAGCGCCCCGCTGCCATTTTTCAACACAAGGACACTGATACACATGAGGCTTTGGGTGCTTTAATTAGCATGGCTCTCAGACCTGTGCTAATTAAAGTGTCCCCCACCCCCACCCCTCCCTTGTGGAGCATGTCTCCCAGAGCACTCACTGGAGCATGGTAATAACTGTGCTCCGTCAGCCTCTGCATCTCATGTATCAGCGTCCCTGCACTTCAAAATGGCAGTGTGGGCGCTTTAACTAAACCTTGTTTGACAAGCTCCAGATAAAGCAATCTTGGTGCCATTTTGAAGCATGAGGATGCTGATACATGGGAGACTCGGGGCACTTTAAAGTGCACCCCCTACCTCTAAAGCACATGTAAAAATGCCCTAAAGTATTAACATTTTCTAGGAAGAAATTTCTGACATTCCTGTTTGACCTTGTATCTTTACTTCCTCAGTTTAAATGCATCCTATCATTATTTCATCTGTGAATATGTAAAGAATTACAATTTACTCATTTAAGATCCACATCTCTTAAAGTGAACTTGCTTTTATAGGAAAGGAAGTTATTTTGGAGGATTTTACAAAACAACAGTTTAGATAAGAAAGCAGCATTGATATGTATAATATCTAATCTACAATTTTAAATACTTTTTCTTAAATAGATTTTATTAATGTATACCATGTTGATCAGATAGTAAAATATGAATAATATTAGTTGCTTTAACTATGCTAGTATGTTTCTCTGAGAAATATTGATGAACCCCAGAGGTATGTTCTTTTCTGTGTTTTGGTATGGCATGCAAAATATACCTTACAAAGCATTGAAGATGGCTATTGCTGATAATTAACCATTCTTAGATAATCTGCCATCATTCCTAGTCCCTATGCATGGAATAATAAATTAACCAGATATTACTGTGCATAAATTTTGTGCAGCATAATTGGGGACCTACTGAATTCACAGCAGAAGTGGGATGCATGGCAGATCCTTTAATCTTGCAGGTTGCCCTGTGCGCCCCCTTTCCCCCCACTGCTGATTGGCTGAGGAGTCCTGGTAGCCTTGCTGTTTGTTGCTGACTGGCCGGGAGGCAAAAACGGTGCCATATTTAAAACTGCGGTTTTCACTTCCCTGCCAATCAGGGGTGTGTGGCAGGGCCCCTCCACTAGTCAGTGGGGATCTGGTTGGGGGAAGGATTCACAGGGGAACCTGCAATATTAAAGGAGCTGCCACACAGCCCACTTCTGCTGTGAGTTTGTAGGTCTCTAAGCATAATCTGTAACATTTGCTTTTTAAAATATAGTTACTTCAAACTGTAAATCAGCAGATGAGTAGTAAAATACATGTTTTCTTTCAGTTCAATAAAACTGGTATTGTGGTATGTGAGGCAGACAAAATACACAGAGTGATGGCAATGGGCTGCTCCACACAAAACCTACATGCTGTGCAACAAATCGTCCTGAATGTTCCCCGTTCGTTAAGTAACTGCACTGTGTATTTGTCCAGGAAACCTTGTTCTATGTGTGCTACTTTTCTCATTCAAGGTAAAGAATATAGCAACTCACTGAAGCTACCAGGCATTTAGTTTGAGTAGTTAATTCAGAAATAATCCTGCACGGAATATAAAGTCTAAAAAAAATGTTGTTTGTGCCTTAATCTGGCAAATCCATTGTTATGCACATAGTCTCTAAAACAAGTGAGGTTACTTGTCCGGGGAAAGCTTCACCTGCTAGGGACAAAAGTTTTACTTCTCATAGCATGCAGTATAGATCTGAGTTCATAGACCAGGGGTGGGCAAAATATGGCCTGCGGGCTGGATTCAGCCCACCAGGCCTTTTTATCCAGCCTGCGGGGCCCCTACAGAATTTAGAAAATGAATGATTATCTGTGTGTGGCTGCCTGTCAAAGATGACAAGGTGCCAGTGGCAGCAGGACCCAGGGGTAGCTGGGCAAGAGCTAGCGGCTGAGCAGTAAGCCCACCCAGCCCCCAACAGGAAACCTATGCAGCTTCCAGCCTGGTGACTCTTTGACTGTTCTCTGCCCTCCATCCATCCGAGTGGAAAGTCAGATAAGATTTGATGGAGGGAGGGGTGGGGGGTAACCGCCGTGATCAGCCCATGCTGCGGGACCCAGGCCAGGCTGGATCCATGCTGTACCATGCTTGGGTACCAGAACCATGTCATGCCAGAACCATCTGTAGGGTGTGTAGAACCAACCTGGCCTTAGCTTGTTTTCCCAGCCAGGCCCCTTCTACCAGTCACTGGGGCAGATGTGTGATGTAGTAGCTGCTGGGTGGAGTCTAAATCATTATTCCTCTACACCACGGGTGGGTAAAATGGTGGATCTAGTTGGCAGCCAGACTCCATTTCGTAGCAGCCCCTGCCTACATGGCTGGGTCTGGTCTCCATGGAGATCTCAGCCGCAGCTGCAATGTGTTGCCATGGACACTGGCCCCAGCCATGCAGGCAGAGGCTGCTGGGAAATGGAGCCCATTGCAGGCCAGATCAAGCCTGCAGGCCAGATTGCCCGCCCCTGCTGTACACTGAAGTTGAGGCTAGTGTAACGGGGAGCCAGAGGCTCCTGTGATTTTAAGGGGATGCTGCACCAAGTTAAGTTTGCTGGGTGGGACCAGCAGCTGAGCAAGGGCTAGCTTTTGGGAAACAAACAGCCCAGTAACAGTTGGGATTAGGAACTACCTCAGGGGGAGGGACTATACTGGGAGCTAGCTGCACTGCTGTAAGCTGCAAAGGGGGAAGACATCTAGGCAGCCCAGGAGTAAATATCTGTAAGCAGCTCAACTAAGCCACTGCAGAGAAGGTCAGGCTGGTCATCATATGGAGAACCACCTGCCAGGAAAGGATGGGGCTTTGGAGGCACTTAAGGCCAGTACCTGAGACCAGGCAAGCAGTCTGGCTCTGCAGAATGCAGGGAAAGGAGCTCCTGAATGAGATGGTCTGCTTGGCTCCAAAGCTGTCTCAGAGAGCTGCGAGGGAAAAGCTAAGGGGGACTTATACCTTGCAGGGAAGTACTGACCCAGTATGGAGAGGATTTTTGTTGTACAGCCATTGTGCTTGCATTTGTTTTGATTAGCTTAACCAGAGGACTGGGTTGTGGCTATAGGAGAGGTATGGAGTAGGGCTGTGCAAAACAGCATCATTCCACTTCAACTTCCATTTCAACATTTCGATGGAACAGTGTTTCATTTCGAGTTTAGTTTCATTTTGAAAGCACTGTTGCATTTTGTTTTGTTGAAACTCTTTTGCTGTTTTGATGCTGTTTCACACATCCCTACCCCCCAGGGGTGTGGGAGAGCCCCCCAAACTGCCTGCTGGATGACAGGAGGCTGATGCTGCCTGCCGGGGTCTTCCCTGCACTGGCTGTGCCCGTTTGGCAGCACCAGCCTCCTGTCATCTGGCAGTCAGATTGGGAGCTTGCCTGCACCCCTGGGAGGGCTGCAGTGGCTGTGCCGGACTGCCTCCTGCATGACAGGAGGCTGGTGCTGCTGCCTGGGAGCCTGCACCCAGCGCTGGGAAGATCGGTGCTGCCACTGGTCCCAGCTGGCAGCACCAGCCTCCTGTCATCCAGCAGGCAGATGGAGGCTTGCCTGCACACCCAGGAGGGCTGTGGGTGCTGTGCTGGACTGCTCCCGGGAGTGTGGGCCCCGATCTACTTCCCGGATCGCAGCAGGCTGGCGCTGCCTCCTAGGGCCAGTGGCAAGAGGGCCTGGGGCAAATCAGCTCATGCGGGGACCTGCCCCCGCTCCGGAATCAGGGTGGGGGTGGGTCCCCACACAAGCTGATTTTTCCTGGGCCCCGCACCAGAGCTGATCTGAGGAGGGTGCAGGGCTCGGGGCAAATTAGCTTGTGCAGGGACCCGCCCCTGCCCCAGGATCACGGTGGTGGCGGGTCCCCACACAAACTGATTTGCCCTGGGCCATGCACCACAGCTGATCATAGGAGGCGGGGAGAGCCAGGGCTGTGCTCTCTGCGGGGCTGAGCCACATGGGGCTGTGGCTCGGAGTGCAGCCCTGGGTCTGCCCTGCCTCCCACCACCAGGCTGCTTTGAAATTCAAAACATTTCAAAATTTTCAAAACATTTTGAAGCTTTCAAAACATTTCGACTGGCCTCATTTTGTTTCGAGTCTGTTTCGAAGCCCTTCGTTTCATTTTGATTTTGCTATTTCAAGCCTGAAATGAGTTGAAATAGTGTCGAAACAAAACAGCTGGTGAAGCTTCACACAGCCCTAGTGCCGAGGCCACAGAGGGGTGATTGTCAGGGCACTCCATAGCAAGCAGCCTAGCCTGGGGTCAGGGACCCAGAGGGCTGTGGGTTGGTATAAGCTAAGGCTAAGAGAGCCAAGGCTGGTGGAAGTGGCCTATCCAGGGGTCAGGAACCCAGGGGGCTGAGGCTGGTGTAATGAACTAGGCTGAAGCTTGAAGAGCTAAAGCTAGCATCAGACAGCTGACCCTGGGTTCAGGGACCCAGAGGACTGAGAGTGAACCAAATCATCCCGCTCTGGGGTTAGGGACCCCAGAAGGCTGGGGGAACTGGGATGAGGCCAGGAAGACTAAGGCCACATCAGTGACTCAGTTTTTGGTTGTAGCCATATTGGTCTAAGGACATAGGCAGGCAAGGTTTTTTGAGTAGATGTGATATCTTTTATTAGACCAAGTAAGTAGTTGGAAAAAAGTTCTTAAGCTTTCAGGTGCAACCACCCTTCTTTCCACCTGCAGACATGCCCTATGCCTGAAGAAGGGTGATTACGTCCAAAAGCTTGCTAAGAACTTTTTTCCAACTACTCAGTTGGTCTAATAAAAGACCACATAACCACATAATCACATCTACTCAAAAAACGTTGCCTACAACAGTGACTCAGAAGCCATAGCAGGCTTAAGCCATGAGGGCTAAAGCTTGTTCAAAGGGGCAGAAGCTAAATTATAGCCAGGGGCTCAGGGAAAGGAGATAGCCTTTCCAGGGCCAGGGGTGTGTTAGGCTAACAGGAACTAGGGCCAGGGGCCCAAGGAAGACCGAGACTTGCCAGGGCCAGGGGTTCAGTAGCCCAACTGGAGTGTGATGGATGGTTTGGAGGGCCCAGTGGACAACTTAATGTAACATCTGTTAGGCCTGGGTGTAGCTATAGGGTTGGAGGAAGCCATAAATTGCCTATAAGGCAATGGGTAGCCTGAGGCACTAATAGGGCCAGCAAGGCCACAGCATAGTGTCTAAGGTGCAAGGCAAAGATAGACTGGGCTCAGTCTGGGGCCCTGGGGGCAGTGTCCTAAAATCTTATGAATAACCTCAAAGTTTTGCAGGAAAGGTAGCAAGGGAAGGTATCCTGAGGAGCCAGAGTGGGGGCAGGGGTCGAGTGGCCACCAGGAGATGTCATGGCCAGCCTAGGGCCCTGATCCTACACTGGCTCAGAGCCCAGAAAACAGCAATGCTGCTGTACAAAATGATCACATTGAAGGAGATAATCGAGCCCAATATTTTAACCAAAAAGACAGGTATTACTCATCAACACTTGTTGGATGGTATTATAAATCTATAGTGCCCGCCTTTTTGCTTGGCAGACTGGATGAGCAGTACCTGGTCCATCCATCTGGTACCCAGGGTGGTCATGGAGGGAAGAGGGGGCACCTGGCTGCATGGGTGGAGGGGAAGGGGCAGCCAGCGGCCTCACAGCAGGGAGTGGAAAGGGGGTATGGTCTGGCCTCAATGGGTGTGGTGGAGGTTGTGTGGCCTGGCTCCAGTTTGACCCTGCAGCGTGGGGAGATATGGAAGCAGGGAAGGGAAGTGGTATTTCCACTGCTCCCCCACTGCAAAATTTCTTGATCTGTGGGGAGTCCCATGGGTCAGATGCCATGTCTTTGCGGGCCACATCTGGCCCATAGGAAAGAGGTCAAGCACCTCTGTTATAACTTATTCTAAATGTTCCCTTTTAGGATCAGTTGCTTCAGTCTATTACTGGCCATTTTCTCCTGAAATAAAGGGCGAAAAAAAAGAAGTCGAGGAAGATCTCAAGCAAGTAGACCAAATGTTTCTAAGAAGTCATATAAGTAGCAGTGTTTTTTTGCCGGATGTAGATTCTGACATGGTGAAGTCTAAGATTTCACGACGCATCAGAAGACAGCAGTGTCCAAAATGCAAGCTTACCTATACTGACACTGTGCCAGAAGACATGGAAGATATTTGTTCATTGTTGAATATGAAGGGCCATGCAAATGCATGTAAAGTGCAGATGTACCATGCATTGCGTTCTCTTGATTACTTGCTGCACTGCTCTCATGGGAAGTTTGAAATAAAAGATACTGATGTGGAAGAAAGGCACACTCACGCATTACAGCTTTGTTATCTTCTAGCTGCCAGATCTGGTAAGTATTCCTGAGAACAGAGAAAAATAGCAAACCAATATGAAAATTGAGTTATTGTTTTTGCTGAATTTGTTGGGAATAACAATGTCAAATATATTGCAGCTTATGTGGATAATAAGGGGATCGGTGTGCTTTCCTAGTAGAAGAGCTAAGCTAATTAGTTTTTGTTAAACATGTATCATATTTGTTGGAATTTCAGCCCAATACTATATCTGAGACACAAGTAAAAATTTAAACTCAAATCAGTATAGGTGAACTTGCAGAAAAATATTTTGCACCACACAAATATATTTCAGACCCCAAAAAGATTTTTCTAAATAAAATTGCTAATGTTGCTAAGTGACAAAAATGTTTTTCTTAGTTATAGATTCCGGAAATGATATTAAGCAAATTAAAAGCAAGTATGATAATATTTCCATAACGCATATAAACATTTTTTTTTCATCAAAGGTAGAAAACCTTAATTCTGACTCCATGGCTAGGGACAGACACTCAAAAAGCCGGAGCCTGAATTGATTCAACCTTTGCAGGTTAGTATAACCTGCCTAGGTTGAACCGGTTTGTGACAGTACAGACATGCGGAGACAGGCCTGCAGGTGCTCAGGCCAGGAGTCGGGGGCACTAAGAGTGTGCCCTCGGCTGCAGGGAAGCCGTGCTGGGGGGCATGGCCAGTCTGGGCTGAACTGGCCAGAGAGGGGTTTAATTATTCCCTCCCTGTCCCACCAGCAAGGAACCGAGCTGGGTCTGCCAGGCGCTCTCCCCTTGCTGCTACAGCCATGGGCCAGCGTGGCCTCTGAGGTAGAGGGGGCAGGGAAGGGGGTTATTTTCCTCTTTACTCCCACTGGCCCCGGGGGACTGCAGGTAGGTCTGCCCGCCCCGACTGCTGCCGCGTGGCAGAATAAGCCCCTTCCTTCCCCCCCTTCCCATTTCAGACCCCAAAAAGATTTTTCTAAATAAAATTGCTAATGTTGCTAAGTGACAAAAATGTTTTTCTTAGTTATAGATTCCGGAAATGATATTAAGCAAATTAAAAGCAAGTATGATAATATTTCCATAACGCATATAAACATTTTTTTTTCATCAAAGGTAGAAAACCTTAATTCTGACTCCATGGCTAGGGACAGACACTCAAAAAGCCGGAGCCTGAATTGATTCAACCTTTGCAGGTTAGTATAACCTGCCTAGGTTGAACCGGTTTGTGACAGTACAGACATGCGGAGACAGGCCTGCAGGTGCTCAGGCCAGGAGTCGGGGGCACTAAGAGTGTGCCCTCGGCTGCAGGGAAGCCGTGCTGGGGGGCATGGCCAGTCTGGGCTGAACTGGCCAGAGAGGGGTTTAATTATTCCCTCCCTGTCCCACCAGCAAGGAACCGAGCTGGGTCTGCCAGGCGCTCTCCCCTTGCTGCTACAGCCATGGGCCAGCGTGGCCTCTGAGGTAGAGGGGGCAGGGAAGGGGGTTATTTTCCTCTTTACTCCCACTGGCCCCGGGGGACTGCAGGTAGGTCTGCCCGCCCCGACTGCTGCCGAGTGGCAGAATAAGCCCCTTCCTGTCCCCTCTGCCAGATGCTGGAGGGAGGGGAATAACTCTGGTCCCTGCCCTCCCTCTGTCCCCGCAGGGGTCCTGCTGGCTGGCATCTAGCCCCACCAGATGGGGGCTGGCTGGGGAACGGGCTTCCCCAGCCAGCTCAGAGCTGCTGGCGGGCCCCCAGCCCAGCAGCTGCCCCTGCTGCGCCCCCTGCCCTCTGCAGCACCCAGGGCTAAAGCCTAACAAGCAGCCGTGGGCTGGCTGGAGCAGGGGGCTGTTCTGCCCCCTTGCCTGCAGCTGCTGCTGCCATGGTCACACTGTACCATACCACTCTGGGTGGGGGGTGGGAAGTTTCAGACTTGCACATAGAGCTCCAGCTCCAGGTCCCAGATGTCTTGGAATGTGGAGGGCTCCCAGGTAGAAGGCTTCAGTCAGAGCTCCACGTGTGGGGCAGTAGCCACTGAAGCTCCCCCCTGCCCCACCTCCCCACTGTCTCCCAGAGTGGCAAGAATGGGAGAGGGAGAAACCACTGCAGGCAAGGGTAAGCTGGCTTGGCATGGCAGGGCTGGCTTTTTCCCCTTGCCTCCAGCTGTGGCTCCTGTCACACTGTGCAGCACCACTCAGGACTGGGGGAGCTTCCTTCAGCCCAGAGGCTTGAACCTGAGCTGGGATGAAGCTGCTGGGCTAAAGGAGCTGCTCCAGGGGGTGGTGGGGTCTTCAGCCCAGTGGCTTTTTTCTTGCATGTGAAGCTCTGGCTGCATCCTCCAGACTGAAGTCTCCTACTCAGTTGCTTTCTGCCTTCTAAGGCATCCAGGAGATGGAGTTAGAGCTGCATGTGTGGTTCTGAAGTGGGGTGGCTGTGGCAGCAGCAGCTGCAGGCGAGGGGGGCAGAACCCCCCCCTACCTCAGCCAGCCCACAGCTGCTTATTAGGCTGCAGCCCCGGGTGCTGCACAGGGCAGGGGGTGCAGCAGTGGTGACTGCTGGGCTAGGAGCCCACTGTCACCTCCAAACTGTCCAGGGAAGCCCGTTCCCCAGCCAGCCCCAACCTGGCAGGGCCAGATGCCAGCCAGTGGGGTCCCTTGTTGCGGGGCAGGGACCAGGGTTGTTCCCTCTCCCTCTGGCATCCAGTGGACAGGACAGGAGGGAGCTTGTTTTGCCATTCAACGGTAGTCAGGGCGGGTAGACCCAGCTGTGGTCCCCCGGGGCCAGTGGGGGTAGAAGGGAGAATTAACTCTCCTCTCTGCCCCGCTCTGCCTCAGGGGCCATGCCAGCATGCCCAGCAGACCTGGCTTGGGTCCCCACTGGTGGGACAGGGAGGGGGGAATTAAACCCCTTTTTAGCCAGACCCCTGACCCTGCCCATCCCTGTCCCAGCTGGGGAGCAGAGGGGTTGGGCCAGCCTTGCTGGGCTGGAGCAGAGAGCCCAGCCCAGAGAGCATGCCAGGATGCTGGGGGACTCTGGTTAAGTTAAACCAGCAAGGGGTCTGGGACAGACATTGCATAAACCAGTTTGAGTCAAATCAGTTAAGTCTGATACTACATTCAGCTAGGTTTATCTTAAACCAGTTTTGGCCATTTTGAAACGGATTTATGTGCACTGAATGTCTGTTCTGTTATAGGTTTAAACCAGTTTCTGATCACTTAAACTGGTTTGTGTAATGTCTGTCCCACCCCATGAGTCCTGCATATGTGTTATGTATATCTGTTTGCCTCTGAATACTTTCTTGTAAATGATGTTGTCCCATGAAAAATATCAGTTAGTGTTTTTCAACACACATTTTGGAATAAATTGCATATAATCACTTATTCTTTAAAATAATGTGTCTCACACACACAGTTTGCCAGGGGCAATGTATAACATTGTCAGTTAAAGGTAGATGGAGGTAAATCCACATATGTAGTGCTATATTTGAAATTTGTCCACAGACAGTATTAACGTGTACAAAAAATATATATTGCTCTTTCAAGGTTTGTATGGGATTTACCATATATATTTGAGATAGAAATATTTGGATACAAATTAGGTTGTTTTATTCTGATGTAATATGCTTTTCTATATATTTGACGACACTTTCCTATTAGCAACATATTTTTTTCTTTATAAATGGACAACATTTATAAACCTTATGCCCTATGTTAGTTTTTGTAGCAGTTCAGACAGCCTTTTACATTCTGTTTCAATATTTAAAGAACGACATACACAGAATATTTTTAAAAGTCTAACCACTAAGTGATACACAATTCTGTTTCTTTAAAAGATGATCCAAATCAAGGTGTTGGATGCATATTATACAGTCAGAATGGATACTTTGTAAGTATGATTAATTCTTCATATATTCTCTTTATTTGTCACTCTGTGCAGTGTATTAACTAGGAAGTATACCACTCCTGGTTCTTCAAGCTTTTGTCACTGATACCTGGCTGGTCTTTGACCCAGCATCTTTTGCCTCTACCTACAAGTAGATGGTAGTTTCACTATGCAAGGTAGGTGCATATTAAAATATGTAGGTATGAAAATGTTGGCTACAAATGTCCAACTCGGGATCCTTAAAATTCTGGTTTATTAGGTGGATTGAAACACTGTAATGAGTTAAATCATAAACCTTGGGGCTGGTCCCCACACACACAGTAGCAAGCTACAGAGTCAGGTATATTTATCCTACAAGCGCTGGAGTCTGCCGTCGATGGCCAGTCGAGGCTTCTTTCAACATGGTGTTATCCTCCAGAAGGGGGTCGCCAGCTGGTCCTTCTGGCTGGACAGGTCTGGTTGAGTTGGAGATCAAGAGGGCGCCCCTGAGGGTCACTTTTCACTGCCTTTTATCTGTCCTTGGCAGACTTTGGTGACTCCCCAGTTTTCAGGTTTGCCCAATCCAGGGGTCGTTGACCCTCGTGGGACTT